GACCTGGCGATTTCTTCCGTTCAAGTGTCGATGCAGGTGTTCGATGGTCAGCACGTCTCTTCGAACAATCAACATCTCACCATACACATCAGTGATTTCAATAATTTCCCGCCTGTCTGTGAAGGAAAAGTTTACGAGGTCCATAAAAAAAAGTTTAAATTTTTTGATTACAAATCTTAATAACTTGTTCCAATCAACTCATTCGAAGATGCATATCAAGTTAATATTTAAAATTTCACAGACGTCGTTAAACGAAACACTTGAAGTGGGCAGCAAGTTAGACGTCCACTTCTCATGTACTGACCAAGATAGTTCCACACTCTACTACTATTTGCAATTTGGCAATGAAGAAAACTTCTTCGCAATCAATGTTTTGACAGGTGTTTCCAATGTTTCAATTATGAATGTTAAACTTTTAATTAGTTGAACCGAGTTTCATGAAATAAATTTAAAAAATTGTTACAAATTCTCTTTAACCAACAATTTTTATTATGCTGCTCATTAAAACAGGGCAGTTAACATTAGCGAAGTCTCTAAAAAATGGAGCCAAACCGATGTACAACTTGACCGTAGCGGCATACGATGACTTGGAACAGAGCATTGCACTCAATTCATCAGTTTCTGTGATTGTGAACGTCCTCAAGGTTAATGAGTACCCACCATCTTTTGTTGATAAATCTGGAGTAACGTTGAAATTAACAGTTGGACAACTGGTTCCAAATTTGTATCAGGTATGTATTTAGATTTTGTAAAATTCTTATTTTAATTTCTGATATTTATTTTGTTAAAACAAAACAAAAACAATGTTTTTTTATCACAATTATACAGTTTATTGCAAAAGATGACGACAACGATGACGTCACAATGAGCATCCTGCCTTCTTTGGAATCAGGTTACTTTTCATTGGAACCCACGACGGGCTGGTTGAGTGTCGTCAAGCCGGTCAGCCAGGTCACAAAGATGATGTTTCAGATTGAAGCCACCGACAACGGTGCATGCTTTAAATAGTTTATATAAATTTTTTAAATTAGCGAACTATGAAATTGCTTTAATAAAGTAGGAAGATAACTTATTTAACCTTTAATTAATAAATTTGTTTGTTAATTTATTAATCAGTTAATATTTTATTGATATTTCTCAAGGCATTCCACCATTGTCATCTTACCTGGATGTGGTTATTTCTGCAAGCAAGATGACAATTCAAACTGAGCCACCGACCGATACCAACACACCAACCAACACAGCAACCAACACACCAAGCACAACTACAGCAGAGCGACAACCTACAGTCACAAATATTACTGTACCAACACAGGCAAACAAAACGCTGACGACACAGATGATAATAACAACACCAATCACCACAACCCGGTTAAACTCAGCCTGTAAACATTACAATTTCTTAAAATTATTGGCTCTGATATTTAGTTGTGCTTCTCTGGTGAGTTTGACTATTTAAAATAATAGTAAAAAAATTCCAAAATGAAAAATTATCCATCCATAAACTTGAATCAACTCTTCAACACTTTTTCTAAATTATGTGAAATTTTCGATTGAGAATTGAATTGCCTGATAATGTTAATGTTACTGTTTTTACAATAGAATACAGTTTAATACCAAATTAAATATGCGTTCATCCCATGTGGTCTGGTCTGTAGTCAGTTTTTGAATTTACAATACCGACTTGCTGTAATTGTCTAGCTGAGAGCTTCTTATAAAAATTGTATTAGTGAACAGTGTAAAAGCGTAATGACTAGTATTATAGCACATTCACACACACAAACAAACACACAAACAAACCCACACACAGAGACACAAACAAACACACAAACAAGCCAACACACACAGACACGCACAAACAAACAAACCCACATGCACAGACGCACGTCACACTCACTCGTGTTATTCACCTCTTACAATTGAACATCCTCTTACTAACTAATTTGAATGACAGTGTGTAACAAGTAGGACGATTGAACGATTGTATTGCATTGATGTAAAGTAGGAATGAATGTTTCAAGTCGCCGTTAGAAAAATGTACCACCACGTGTGTGTGTGTGTGTTTGTTTATGTGTGTGAATTTTTAAATTTTCAATATTTACTGATATAACTGAGAGAAAACTTCAGATATCAGCCATCTGGCATTCAATAAATACAAGCCAGCTATATAAAACATGTACATAGTTCAGCAACGCGTGATAGGCAGAAAGACAGTTTAGTGGGGATTGACCACAGTTGGAATCGAAAACAATCGCAGTAGCCTCGAAGCATTCACGTTCTTGACCGTAAGCACCTAGTCAAGTTTCAAGGTCAAACAGAAATGTCCCTGGCCCGTGGGGTAATAGAATAAATGGTCAGTATTCATTCAAGCAAAAAAATGATTTGGAAACCAAAAAAGTAAAAAAGAACTGTTGAGTCGATGAATTGATATTGATAAACTAGCAAATGATATTTGTGCCTATACATAAATACAATTAAATTTGTTAATTAGATTACGTTTAATTTCAAAAAAATCAGTAGATTTTAGTACCTCTTCGAGTTATATTAAACAACAAATTTATTAATTTATCAGCAAATACACCAATAGACAATTATTTAAATTGCACAGCGGGTTTGGTTATAAATCGAAATTTGAAATAGTTTCTTCCACCTTTCTTCTTCATTGTATAATGATCGTACATGTTCACACGCATGCAAATATAACTTCGGCATATAGGGCAAGAACTATATCTTTTCCCAAACCATAACTTAATACATGGTATGTGAAACGTGTGACTACAGGGCAGCTCGGTCACAATTCCTCCTTCCTTGAATTTGTCCAAACATATGGCACAGCTATCGTTTCTAGATATTTCTTCAAAATATGGCACCGAATAAATTCGTTGGTTGGAGAGAGGGTGGAAGAATAGGTCCCAGTGGTACATCATTCCAGTTAGAGTTCCATCCAATGTCACTATTTTTTTTGAAAAATATTCTACTGTAGGTTTATTGAAGTAAGCATCTTGTGGGCTCTTCAACAATTGATATTGTTCTTGCTTGTTTAATAAGCGTACCTTATTCAACCAACTACTCCCTTCTATATTTTCCGGATCTGGACATGTCACAAGGTAATCAGACAATTCTTTCATTTCTTTCAGCGTCAATTGATGTTTGATGCTGCATTTTACTAGGTAGTTAAAATATATTGCAAACTTCACTTTGCTTATTCTTCGTAAAAATCGCTTAAAGTACGAACCGGCAAAATCGTTTGCCATTTCTTCGATTTCAGTCTTCGATAGATCCATCATTGACGATCCTCGTGTAAAGTTTTTACAGACTGCGATTCTCATAAGATATCGCCGTAATATATATAGATAAATTCATGCAACCAAAGATAGTAAAGTGTAATTTTTACATGTACACAATTTACAACCAAAGATAATTAAAGATTTTAGATTTTCTTCTCTGCGGATCAACAGCCACCATTAACATTAAGCTGTTGTGCAAGTACAAGCTTGCAGGTACGGTGCCCACCACACGAAACTGTTTACATTGCATATTATTTATTTATATTTTTACAAAAATTTCCATTTGAATGGCATTCGAGACGTGCTATCATAACCTATTTTCCACATTTACAATCAATTGATTTCATTCGGATGGCATAGATACCGTAACGATCGAGTAAGCAGGTGTCACTTTGAACGCCACGATGTCTTGATGGCATGTCAGTTTAGATTATTACGTAATCGTGTTTAACTTTATTTCTTCTCGGCTTTCAGATAATCAGATTTTTCAATTCTTCTTAATAATCCGGCTCTGTCGAACGCATACCTTCTTATACGTTATTCTCCGCTTGCAGTTAAACTTTCATGTGTCGCAAAGGCGACCCCACACAATCCACACCACACACGCACATTACGTATTTACGCGCGTTTTGAACAGACAGTATTTGAAGGCCAATGATAGCTCGAGACACGGCACTTCTACTGACCGACCTAACTCGGTGACACACTTAAAATGTTAGATATGTATGTGTGAATATATGTATTCAAACAATTTTATTCAATCAAACAACAAGACTAATTCGGAGACCAAAAAAGAAGGGAAATTACCGTTACGTATAGGGACCTGTTGGGTTGGTGAATCTATATTTTTCTTGGAAGTTTATTAACTAACAAATAAATGATTATTTGGTACAGATAAATGATTAAATTTAGACGATTCAATTGAAATACGCTTAACTAAAAGAAATTATTCTGTGTTTAGTATTATTTTACAATTATAAATATTAGTAGATTATAACAGAAAAATATCACATGGTAAATTAATACAATTAAAAAACAAATTCAAATATAGAAAATTAACAAATTCACATATAAAAAAATTAGTGACGTTTAACGCAAGGCTCCGTCACTATTCGAAATTGAAAATGACTTTTGCCATTTTTCCATTTCGATGTAAGCTTCGCAATCATTCTCAGATGCAGGCAGATGAACGCCCGACACAGAGGGCATGAATCCTTTGTCTCAAACCATTTTCGAATGCAGAGTATATGAAACGTGTGGCTGCAATGCAACTCGCACACCAAACCTCCTTCCTTGAACTCCTCCAAACATATTACACAGCGGTCATTTCTAGATATTTCTTCAAAATATGGCACCGAATAAAAATTTTGATTGGAGGCAAGATGGAAGAAATGGTCCCTGTGGTATATCATTCCATATACCGTTTTGTCCCTGGTCGCTAATCTTTGTTTAAAATATTTTACTGTAGATTTTTTGAAGTAAGCGTCTTGAGCGCTCTTTAACAAATGATATTGTTGTTGCTTGTTTAGTAAGCGAACCTTCTTCAACCAACTACTCCCTTCTATGTATTCCGGGTCCAAACATGTCAGCAAATAATTAGACATTTCTTTCATTTCTTTCCACGTCAACTTGTGCTGGATGTCACATTTTGCCAGAAAGTTGAAATATGTTGCCAATTTCACTTTTTCTTTTCTCCATAAAAATCGCTTAAAGTACCTGTCTGCAAGTCGGTTTCCTATTTTGGAATCAAATTTTGAAAGATTCATCATTTACGATCTTCGTGCAAAGTTTATTATGGGCAGCGACCAACAAGGATTCTTTGTGATATATATATAGAGTTAATGGGGTTTGAGAACAGTTACAAGCGTGAAATTTACAACCAAAAGATTATAGATTTAGGTAGGTCAAAGAATACACTGTACACCACACGATGTGTGTAGTGTACACATGCACACGACCTATGCCTTGCCTATCCACTCCACATAACGCACGTTTGCATTAATCATTTCATAATATATATAACTGAATTTTCCAATTCAATAGCACTCAAATCAGGCTATTCAAAACCCGCTTGCAGTTCCAAGACCTGGTTATGCCACTTTTTGCCAATTGGTTATTTTACAACCACCGAGAGAAGTCAGATTTTATTGAATTAACAAAAATATCTCAATAATCATTTTATTAGCATTGTAGTAGTCGTTATTTGAGAAGAGGTAGTAGTAGTAATGATAGTAGCAGCAACAGCTGCAATAGTAGCAGCTGCAGTATTGCTAGTGCTGCCATTATAATTGTTAGCGCCTAATTTTTTGTTGTTCATATTATTAATAATATAAATAGAAGTATTTGATGTATAAAGTAGGAGATGTATTAGTAAGTAGCAGTAGTAGTAAAAGTAGTAATAGTAGTAGTAGTAGTAATGCTAGTATTAGTTGTAGTAGTAGTAGTATTAGTTGTTGTAAGAGTGGTAGTAGTAGAAATGCTAGTATTAGTTGTAGTAGTAGTAGTATTAGTTGTTGTAAGAGTGGTAGTAGTAGAAGTAGTAGTAGTAGTAGTAGTAGTAGTAGTAGTAGTAGTAGTAGTAGTAGTAGTAGTAGTAGTAGGAGTACAAGTAACAGCGTAGTAGTAGTTTCATTGTTCTTTATTAGCAATAGTTTATTATTATTATTACTAATCATTACTACTACTACTATTAAAAGTGATTCAGTCTTATTATGCAGCCATAACTTGACAATGGAGCTTCATTGTTATGGAGGTCTATATATGTTCGTTTCTTCTCATTATTCGTGTGACATTTCTTCGTTGTAAACATGTTCCTTCTCGTTAAATTTCTTGAAGATTGTTAACTGAGTTGAGTTTTAAGATACAGTAGAAAGAATGTACGTAAAAAATCAATTTAAATAATTAAATACTATCGCTATTGCTACTACTACATTACTACAACTATTTTAACTTCTACTACTACTACTACTACTATACTACTACTACTACTACTACTACTACTACTACTACTACTACTACTACTACTACTACTACTATTACTATTACAACTACTACTGCTGCTGCTGCTACTACTACTACTACTATTACTACTACTACTACTACTACTGTGTTCATTATGATTATATTCAAAAATATTGCGGATGTTAAATAAAAATTCTGAGAACTTTTCTATTCAAATTTAATTAATTGATGAGGAGTGGAGAAAAGATGATGACGACGACGATGAGGATGGTGATGATTAAATTTGGGGTTATATTTACCATTATTGTCCTCTATGAGTCCATAGATAACGTTACAGCTGCAGGTTTGTATTTTTTATACTATGTTATTTATTTATATTAAATGCAAATTATAATTGCTATTTTTTCGTTGTTACTATTATTTACTACTACTAATAATAATAATAATAATACTACTGCTACTACTACTGCTGCTGCTGCTGCTGCTACTGTTATTACTACCACGACTGCTATAAATTTTGTAATTATTATCAGACTGCGTGTCAAATGATGGAACGTACAGAGGAAAGTTGAATGTGTCAGCGTCTGGGAGGCCTTGTTTCAATTGGCTGTCAAGCAAGCTCTGCTTCACGGTCATCATGAATACTAATTATAATAATAATAATAATGTTAATAATAATATAAATAATAATATTTTTAAAAATAATAATAATGTATGTATGTATGTACATGATAATAATTGTTATTTACTTAATGACGGTGCTGATGTTTACGATGAATATCACTCACACAATAAAGACTAAAAATGTGATCTCGAACTTTGACCTTACAGGGCATCGATGACGTCAACTTGACCTCGACCCATAATTTCTGTCGAAACCCCGTTGAGCCGGCAGAGTGCCATCATGAGAAACCCTTCTGTTACTTGGGTCCCTCCAACTCGGACTGGGAATTCTGTGACCTGCCTACGTGTGGTCAGTTTGTCGTTTGTTTGGTGAGGACGAGGTAGAGTAGTGGTTAGAGGCGCTTGATTTTGTGTTGCAGTAACCGGGTTTGATTTCGTGAAAATTTCCTTACGATGAGTTCCGTTTACGTGTGTTATGTATGGTTGGAATTGATGCAAAATTAAATACAAGACATACAAAAAAATACAATACAGATCACATTCCCAAACAATCTAACCTAGCAACCATAATCTTCATTCATCTATTCATTCAAATCAACATTCAAAAACACTGTGGACTTGACAGGATTCGAACCCGGGATATCCTGCTCGGATCCTCTGGGAATGGGAGATGGACGAATAGCAGACGATAAAATTTTCGCGCCAACTCAGTACAACGGCAACTTCAAAGCGAGTTACGCTAGGCTAAATGAGACCAATAAATGTAATTACACTTTTTTTCAAAAATTGTTTAATTCCAAGTTTATTAAATGTTTATAACAAGAAAATAGAAATTAATATGATTAAACGTTTTGTATGATGCGATTTAGATAAAGTTGTATATGTGTTTCAGTGTAATTAAAAAATATAAGCAAATTTTTTTATATTTGCTTTGAAGTCTTTCAGATAAAATGGCATAAGCTGATTAATAATTATATTCATTACCTACCACAAGATTTTACAAACAATTTTAAATAGCAATGACTAATATGTTTAACAATATTAAATCCCTTAATTCAAAACTAGCTAGCTGGATGGCAAATTACAATTACCCAGAGTATGTCTATCTTTCGGTCAACCTCTCACAACCGTACACTGTTACCAAATTAGCCATGACCGGTCTTAACTCCTACGTTACTAAATTAAAGGTGAAAAAGAAAATTAGATTATTACTATTATTGTTATTATTATTGTTGTTATTATTAATAAATTAATAATTAAAAAATAATAATTAGGATTAATGTGTTGAATAATTTTTCTACGCTTTCTCACAAAGGTTGCCTACTCTGTTGACGGCTTTTCTTGGATCTTCTATGGAACGAACGCAGACGACGTTTTGAAAGCGCGCGAATTTGAAGGCAACCACGATGGAAAAGATTTAAATATTATTCATTTTGACAGTCCATTCCAGGTGAATCTCGAATTTTGATACTTTTTTTACTAAAAGCGACCTAAAAACAAATATTTAGTTTGTACGTAGTGCTGAAATCTTCGTGAAACGTATCATCAACAAGTTTGAAAAACGATTGTTTGATTGATAAGTTCTTTAAAATGTCGTAACAATTAAATATTAATTACTTACTTAATTAGTTAATTAATTTTAATTAACTAATTCAATAATTAATTCAAAAATTATCAAAATTCTTCAAAATATCGCAACAATAACCATTTCCAAAAATGTTCGTATTAAAAAAAATTCAAAGGCTATATTAGTAGCCCTCATCCCAACGACGTACGTTAATCTTCCTACATTGAGAATAGAACTCTACGGATGTCCCTCTCCAAATACAATTGTGAAGAGAACTTTTATCGACCATGATATCAGTGTATGTGCTTTATTTTTCCTATTCTCAATTCTACTTCCTTTTTCAAGAATATCAACAACAAACACAGTGTAATAAATAGATACACACGGATCACTGCATCACATTGAACAGCAATTTATATGTAGCACATATAATATAACGTTTATAATAACCAATTCCAAAAATGTTTGTATTAAAAAAGAAGAATTATATTACATATAAACATCATATTATATGTGTTAAGTAGTCAGAGATCATTTTGTTTTAATAATTGTAATAAATGAAATTAAAATTTACATAAAAATTGTGTTAATGTTGTCTGTACTTGTACTCTATTTAACCGGACGAAATGCAATAACCAATAAACAGACGAACACGTATTGGTCCGCAGTGAACAGTCCCTACATTATCAGAAGCCCACTCTTGTTGAGAGTCGGTGCTACACTTAGCATTGAAGCTGGAGTTAAAGTTGTTTTCGCTGACAAGTCTGCCTCTCTAACCGTTTCTGGTTGGTTGGTTTGTTTTCCGGTTTTTTAAATTGTAAAAGTAAAACCTAAGAAGTAATGCCGTTTTAGTGGAAATATTTTATTCAATTCAGTAAATCATTTTGTATTTATATGGCGCAAAGCTTAAAACTCGCAAACAACCAACCAGCGAGAATGTGCTCGAAGCTTCCAAACGTTGCTGAAGCTGTAGTTTGATAGCATTAATGTTTAAATTCTATTTCGAAACCTTAGGCTGCTTGGATTTGAGGAGTATCGAGGGTTTAGAAGTTCAGTTCCTCTCAAACAACCTCCTCAGTTACTGGGCAAGTGTTGATTACTTCGACAGCAACAAACCTTTCTGGCAAGGAGTTATTTTTCCATCCGATCTCTCGAGTGAGGCTTTCTAATTACTTTCTTAAAAAACAATTTTTTCAAGATTTGAAATTGATTCGATTCATACACAGTAGAAATGGATGTTTACAATAATTTTCAGCAGCCTGCAACGTCAATTTAAGAAATCTCTACGTACGTGGCGCCGGGATCAAGTCGAACATGAAAAACGTGAACTGGAAGGGCTTCATCATAAAAAATAGTTTACTGGCGATTTCGTTCGCAAGTAGCGAGAACGTTAATCTGACGAATTGCCTCTTTAATGGCAATGAGGTGAGTTTTGAAAGTAAATTCATCTGCGTGCTCATGTAACGTGTTGTTTATTTAATGGACACAAAATGATGAAAATAATCGCCTGCTTATGTTGTGTGTTGTGCTTATTTAATTTCAACACAAAACCTATCCACCGTCCTGCAGAATGGCATT